TTGCCCATTATGTTCTTGATTGTCCGTTGATTAATGTATATAGAAACACTGAGATAAGGACTGTTCCTGAGCAAATAGCCTGGATGTAAAATAAAACAAAGCGGCACCGTTTTGTTTTGTTTCACCATTATCACAAAGGAAAGGTTGATGATATTCTTGAGAGATATAAGAATTTTGCACCAAGACTGTAATATTTTGTTGAATTATCCGTATAACTAGGTCATAAAAGTATTTGTGTACGTCTGATACCATACTACTTGTGAAGGAGGAAATGTACATGTTTATCTCTCAGAATGTTTGGTAACAGGTTTATTGTTTGTGATGTGTGTCTATGTATGTATTAACACGTTGTACTGAACGGGGTGAGAATAGCTTGAGCTACCTCATCCCTTTGTGTGTATTTTACCTCAATAAACTTATTTCAATTCAATTTCAATGTGGATTCAAAATATAACCTATGTAAAAATATTCTAAGCAAAGCACAGGAACGTAGTATACAATACAAATTGAATAGATCGAATACTAATGACCCAAAGTGGATAACAAAGGATCTGAAGAACCTTATAGGTAAAAAGAGAGCGTGGTAAGAAAAGGATTAAGAATGAGGAAGTCAGTTTAGAGCAGGAATTCGCACAACTGGTTAGAAATGTTAAACAAGAGATAGGAAAAGCAAAAAGAAACTATGAAGTTCGCATAGCAGGGCAAGCAAAGACAAATCCTAAAGTTTTTTTTCAGTTATATCGAACAAAGACTAGGGTAAGGATAGATCCATTAAAAACTGAGACAGGTCAAATAACGGATAATGACGAGGAGATGAGTAATATTTTTAATGAATATTTTATATCTGTATTTACTAAAGAGGAACTTAATAATATGCATTTAGCCGAGCAAGTCTGTGTGGGTGGGGACGAGGACAGGTTGACTAGTTTAGCAGTTACCAGGGAGGACATAATTAAACAAATAATAAAACTCAAAGCAAACAAATCCCCAGGCCGGATAAAGTGTTTTCCAGGATACTTAAATAATGCAAAGAGGAGCTTTGTGAGCCACTGTCTACCATATTTAATAAATCTATAGAGTCAGGCAGAGTGCCAGAGTCATGGAAGGATGCTCATGTGGTACCAATTTTTAAGAGAGGAGATAGATCACTTGCGTCAAACTATCGGCCAATTAGCCTAACGTCTATTGTGGGGAAGTTACTTGAATCGATAATTGCAAATACAATTCGTCTTCATCTTGAAAAACATAAATTAATAAATGAGTCACAACATGGTTTTACAAATGGCCGTTCATGTTTAACAAATTTGCTACTTTTTATTCCAGAATAGTTGAGGCAGTTGATAGTGGCAGATTATGATGTTGTGTACCTTGACTTTAGCAAAGCTTTTGATACAGTGCCACATGAAAGACTGATTAAAAAGATAGAAGTTCATGGTATTGGGGGTGTTATATTAAGTTGATTTAGGGCATAGTAATTCCATAGGAAACAGATAGTAGTATAAATGGGGTTAAATCAGAGTGGGATAATGTTGTAAGTGGAGTGCCTAAAGGCTCTGTCCTGGGACCTCTGTTGTTTAAAATATATATATAAATGATTTAGATTCATGTTTGAGTAGCAACATTTGCAAATTTGCCAATGATACAAAAATCGGTAGAGAAATTAACATGGAAGAAAACTCCCTATCACTTGAAGTTGATCTAAATAGGGTTTTGAAATGATCAAAAGATTTTCAGATGCAGTTTAATGCTAATAAATGTAAAGTTTTGAGGCTAGGTAATGATGATAGTTACAAGATACGAGCTGGATGGTGTTGACATTGCAAAGTCGGATTGCGAAAGGGATCTGGGAGTTATGATATGTAAGAATTTAAGGCAGTTGATAGTGGTAAGGTTTGCGATGTTGTATACCTTGACTTTAGCAAAGCATTTAATACAGTGCCACATGAAAGACTGATTAAAAAGATAGAGGCTCATGATATTGGGGGTGCTATATTAAGTTGGATTAGGGCATGTCTATACCAAAGGAAACAGAGAGTTAGTATAAATGGGGTTAAGTCAGAGTGGGAATATGTTGTAAGTGGAGTACCTCAAGGTTCTGTCTTGGGGCCATTTGTTTATAATATATATATAAATGATTTAGATTCAGGTTTGAGTAGCACCATTTGCAAATTTGTCGATGATACAAAAATCGGTAGGGAAATTAACACAGAAGAAGATTCACTATCACTACAAGTTGATCTAAATAGGGTTTTGAAATGGTCCAAAGGTTGGCAGATGCAGTTTAACCCTTAAACTGCGCAACGGGCCTGCAGGCCCACGTCTGGTTTGTGCAACGTGCCTCCGGGTATTTTTATTTCTCAGGTTCCATTCAAAACTGGTGCGTGGTGACGCAGGTATGGTATGGATGGCTGGGGGCCCCAGTGATCGTCCGCCATCTTGAAAAAAAGTCCCAGCATGCCCCACGGCCGTGGGGAGCCTCAGTTTCAAAGCAGCAACCATGTCTGACGCATCCTCTACGAGCTCCTGCTCCACAGGTGACCCGCGGTCATGGAAAACGACTCTCTGAGGAGGAAATACACGATATTTTGTATGATGACGGTGCTATGGATGATGACCTAGACTATGATCCAGAGAAAGACCTTACTCAGAGATCTGATACGAGTGAGGGAGAGACGTAATTGGAAGATGTGGTGAGCGAGTATGGTACACGCACCTCGCCTGACCTGCCTCGCCGCCCTGGGTCAACACTGTTAGTCACCACGATCATGTATGTTCTCAGATGCTAGTAGATTGTTCAGTGACAGTACATGTTAAGAATCTTTCTCGGGCTTCAGTAACATTGGCTCCAATACGAGTAGTGTGGATGACACGAGTACGAGCAGCGGTGGTGTTACCAGGCGGGGTTTTGCTGCCTCAGCAACACACTGCGGCAGGCGGCAGCGTGTCTCACAGCATGTGGACAACAACGACAGTGGCCCCTCAACATCAGGTGTTCGTGGTAGGCCTACAGTACATAAATCTGCCTCAGCGCCTAGCATACCCTCACGCAGCTCATGCAGGAGCAGCAGACGACGTAGCCGTGGTCTTGGTGCTCGTGGTGGTGTTGGCCGTGGTGTTGGCGCCAACACCAAACCCCCTGGTGTACTTGTGTGGGAGGAATGCGCCACATTTGTCCTTCAAATACCAACGTTTGATGATACCGATGTTGGTGTTTCACCATTATTCCCATATACCGGTGATGATATGGCAGACATGGAATATTTCCAGGCATATTTTGACAATATAGTCATGACGCATCTTGTGACTGAGACAAACAGGTACGCTCACAGCCTCATAGACGCCGGTATTTTACCTGCCTTACGCCTCACGCAATGGAAGGATATGACAATCGACAAAATGTAAGTGTTTCTAGCACTCAGCATGATGATGAAGCACTCTAAGAAAGCTTTCATCCAGGATTTTTGGAGCAAAGACAGCCTTGTTCCATCGGCCATGTTCAACCGGTATATGTCCCGTGATAGGTTTCTCTTGATTCTCAAGTGCCTGCCTTTCGAGAATAATGCAAATGAGGACAGACACGACAGACTGTGGAAAGTACGGAAGATGTTCAGTGACATGAGAGGGAAGTTCAGGGATTATTTTGTACCTGCACAGAATGTGGTTATTGACGAGTCGCTTGTACTGTTCAAGGGGCGACTGGCATTCAAGCAGTACATCCCATCAAAGCGGCACCGTTTTGGACTGAAGTTTTTTGTGCTATGCGACTGTGAGACTGGTATCGTCTTGGACATGATATTATATTCTGGTACAGACGTCGACATACCAGCTCAAGATGAACACTGGTTCTCTGGCAGTGTCGTAAAAACTCTGACGGAACAATTACTGAACAAGGGGCATATACTGTTCACCGACAACTATTACACTAGCCCCTTGTCGACCAGATACCTCCTTGCCCACAACACCGACGTATGTGGCACTGTGAAGGCCCACAGGAAGGAAATGCCAGTGTTCGGTATGGGTATAGCCGTGGGTGATTGCCAGCTGCGTAAGCGTGACAATATGCTGTCAGAGCGTTGGAAGGACAGACGCGAGGTGAATATGCTGACTACGATTCACACCCGTGCCATGTTGGACAGTGGGAAAGTTCACTTTCAGACGCGCAACCTCATGTATAAGCCAGATTGTGTCATAGACTATAACGTGAACATGCGCCTCGTCCATATATGTGACATGATGCTTGGTGGAGTGGAGTGCGTGCGCAAGTTTGTGAAGTGGACGAAAAAGTTCTTCTTTCACCTCAAGGATGTTGCAGTGCTCAACTGCTTCAATATGTACCTAGTAAAATCCGGCATGCGACCGTCTACACGTACATTCAGTGCTGGTGTTGTGTCACAGCTGCTAGTAAAGTATGACAAGGAGGACTCCGTTGTACCGCGCGGAGTGCAAGCAACAATGCCACACGCAGCTCCAGACAGATTGAGGGGTAATGCGAACTTCGGAGTACATATGCTCGAGTATATGCCAGACACAGCATCACGGGAGAAGGGTAAACGTGCTGTGCAGTATGCAGGAACACTACCCGCAGAGAACAAAAGTGAAGATGTATCAGCACCTGGTGCGTGGAGTGCAAGGTGCCACTCTGCACCGTTGGCTGTTTCTTAGCATATCACACACTCGCGGAGTACTGAGTGTGTTTATGGTGTGTGTATATAGTGTGTGATACTGTACAGTGTGTATATAAAGTGTAAATATAAATATATTAGGCATGATCCATTGGAAATTGTGCAGGATAAGTGAATTTGTTTGTGATGCACGTAACACAGTGTCTACGGACAGTACAGATGTTCTACAGCCATAATATAGTGTACGAGTTCATTATACATTGGATTGGCACGTACAAACAATTAAATTATATTTGGAACTGTGCCCAAAAAATTAACGAAAATATATTCGCGGCAACTCGTGCGCCCGCGCCCTACAGGCCCCCGGGTGCCCTACAGGCCCCCGGGCGCCCTACAGGCCCCCGGGTGCCCTACAGGCCCGCGGGTGCCCTACAGGCCCCCTCCGGTGCCCTACAGGACCCCGGGTGCCCTACAGGCCCCCGGGTGCCCTACAGGCCCCCTCGGGTGCCCTACAGGCCCCCGGGTGCCCTACAGGCCTCCGGGTGCCCTACAGGCCCCCGGGTGCCCTACAGGCCCCCGGGTGCCCTACAGGCCCCCGGGTGCCCTACAGGCCCCCGGGCGCCCTACAGGACCCCGGGTGCCCTACAGGCCCCCGGGTGCCCTACAGGCCCCCGGGTGCCCTACAGGCCTCCGGGTGCCCTACAGGCCTTCGGATGCCCTACAGGCCCCCGGGCGCCCTACAGGACCCCGGGTGCCCTACAGGCCCCCGGGTGCCCTACAGGCCCCCGGGTGCCCTACAGGCCCCCGGGTGCCCTACAGGCCCCCGGGTGCCCTACAGGCCCCCGGGTGCCCTACAGGCCCCCGGGTGCCCTACAGGCCCCCGGGTGCCCTACAGGCCCCCGGGCGCCCTACAGGCCCCCGGGCGCCCTACAGGCCCCCGGGTGCCCTACAGGCCCCCGGGTGCCCTACAGGCCTCCGGGTGCCCTACAGGCCTTCGGATGCCCTACAGGCCCCGGGCGCCCTACAGGACCCCGGGTGCCCTACAGGACCCCGGGTGCCCTACAGGCCCCCGGGTGCCCTACAGGCCCCCGGGTGCCCTACAGGCCCCCGGGTGCCCTACAGGCCCCCGGGTGCCCTACAGGCCCCCGGGTGCCCTACAGGCCCCCGGGTGCCCTACAGGCCCCCGGGTGCCCTACAGGCCCCGGGCGCCCTACAGGCCCCCGGGCGCCCTACAGGCCCCCGGGTGCCCTACAGGCCCCCGGGTGCCCTACAGGCCCCCGGGTGCCCTACAGGCCCTCGGGTGCCCTACAGGCCCCCGGGTGCCCTACAGGCTCCCGGGTGCCCTACAGGCCCCCGGGTGCCCTACAGGCCCCCGGGTGCCCTACAGGCCCCCGGGTGCCCTACAGGCCCTCGGGTGCCCTACAGGCTCCCGGGTGCCCTACAGGCCCCCGGGAGCATACGTCACAGGGAATGATGACGTCACGCCCCAACTTACGGACCCCATAGCAGCCAAAGTAAGTACAATTTCGACTTTTTTTTACATACCCATAATGAGGGGAGGGTTTTTGACACTTTAAAAAAAATCCAGAGAATTTGTTTCCTGTGTACTGGGGGGGGGGGGAGGAGGGGGTGTCATATATGGAGGCAATGCAGCTAAGGGGTTAATGCTGATAAATGTAAAGTTCTGAGGCTAGGTAATGATGATAGAATTACAAGATAAGAACAAAGGTAATGGCAGAAGGCCTATTGGCCCATATGAGGCAGGTCCCATCTATAACCACCCAATCCCATTCATATACATGTCCAACCCACGCTTGAAACAATTGAGGGACCCCACCTCCACCACTTTACGTGGTAATTGGTTCCACAAATCAACAACCCTATTCCCGAACCAGTATTTACTCAAGTCTTTTCTTAATCTAAACTTATCCAATTGATACCCATTGTCTCGTGTTCTGTCTTGTGTTGATACTTATAATACCCTATTAATATCCCCCTTTGTTATATCCGTTCATCCACTTGTAAACCTCTATCATGTCACCCCCTAACTTTTTGCCTTTCCAGTAAATGAATTTTAAGCTTTGTTAATAAGAACATAAGAACATAAGAACAAAGGTAACTGCAGAAGGCCTATTGGCCCATACGAGGCAGCTCCTATTCTATAACCACCCAATCCCACTCATATACTTGTCCAACCCGTGCTTGAAACAATCGAGGGACCCCACCTCCACAATGTTACGCGGCAATTGGTTCCACAAATCAACAACCCTGTTACTGAACCAGTATTTACCCAAGTCTTTCCTAAATCTAAACTTATCCAATTTATATCCATTGTTTCGTGTTCTGTCCTGTGTTGATACTTTTAATACCCTATTAATATCCCCCGGTTATGTCCATTCATCCACTTGTAAACCTCTATCATGTCACCCCTAACTCTTCGCCTTTCCAGTGAATGCAACTTAAGCTTTGTTAATCTTTCTTCATATGAAAGATTTCTAATTTGGGGAATTAACTTAGTCATCCTACGCTGGACACGTTCAAGTGAATTTATATCCATTCTATAATATAGCGACCAAAACTGAACTGCATAATCTAAATGGGGCCTAACTAGAGCAAGATATAGCTTGAGAACCACACCAGGTGTCTTGTTACTAACGCTGCGATTAATAAATCCAAGTGTCCGATTTGCCTTATTACGAACATTTATGCATTGATCCTTTTGTTTTAAATTCTTACTAATCATAACTCCCAGATCCCTTTCGCAATCCGACTTCGCAATCACAACACCATCTAGCTCGTATCTTGTAACTCTATCATCATTACCTAACCTCAGAACTTTACATTTATCAGCATTAAACTGCATCTGCCAATCCTTTGACCATTTCAAAACCCTATCTAGATCAACTTGAAGTGATAGTGAGTCCTCCTCCGAATTAATTTCCCTACCGATTTTCGTATCATCGGCAAATTTGCAAATGTTGCTACTCAAACCTGAATCTAAATCATTTATATATATTATAAACAACAGAGGTCCCAGGACAGAGCCTTGAGGCACTCCACTTACAACATTTTCCCACTCTGACTTGATTCCATTTATACTAACTCTCTGTTTCCTTTGGTATAGCCATGCCCTAATCCAGCTTAATATAGCACCCCCAATACCATGAGACTCTATTTTTTTAATCAGTCTTTCATGTGGCACTGTATCAAAAGCTTTGCTAAAGTCAAGGTATACAACATCGCAATCCTTACCACTATCAACTGCCTCAACAATGCTAGAATAAAAAGATAACAAATTTGTTAAACATGAACGGCCATTTATAAAACCATGTTGCGACTCAATTATTAATTTATGTTTTTCAAGATGAAGACGAATTTTATTTGCTATTATAGATTCGAGTAACTTTCCCACAATAGACGTTAGGCTAATTGGTCGATAGTTAGACGCAAGTGATCTATCTCCTTTCTTAAAAACTGGTATCACATTTGCAACTTTCCAAAACTCTGGCACTCTGCCTGACTCTATTGATTTATTAAATATGGTTGACAGTGGGTCACAAAGCTCCTCTTTGCATTCTTTAAGCACCCTAGCAAACACTTCATCCGGCCCTGGGGATTTGTTTGGTTTGAGTTTTACTATTTGTTTAAGAACATCCTCCCTGGTAACTGCTAAACTCGTCAACCTGTCCTCGTCCCCACCCACATAGACTTGTTCGGCTGAAGGCATATTGTTAAGTTCCTCTTTAGTAAATACAGATACAAAATATTTATTAAAAATACTACTCATCTCTTCATCACTATCTGTTATTTGACCTGTCTCAGTTTTTAATGGACCTATCCTTTCCCTAGTTTTAGTACGATATAACTGAAAAAACCCTTTAGGATTTGTCTTTGCTTGCCCTGCTATGCGAACTTCATAGTTTCTTTTTGCTTTCCTTATCTCTTTTTTAACATTTCTAACCAGTTGTACGAATTCCTGTTCTAAAGTGACCTCCCCATTTTTAATCCTTTTGTACCAAGCTCTCTTTTTACCTATAAGGTTCTTCAAATTCTTTGTTATCCACTTTGGGTCATTAGTATACGATCTATTCAATTTGTATGGTATACTACGTTCCTGTGCTTTGTTTAGAATATTCTTAAATAAGTTATATATTGAATCCACATCGAAATCCCCATTTAAGTCACCTATCGCTGGGTTCATGTCTCGCTCCAAGACCGGCCCATACCCCATACCCAAGCCTTTCCAATCAATTTGACCCAAAAAATTTCTTAGGCTATTAAAATCAGCTTTTCGAAAATCTGGCACTTTAACAGAATTTTCTCCTACTGGTCTATTCCATTCTATGCTAAATCTGATTTCTTTGTGATCACTGCTCCCTAGCTCACTCCCTATTTCGATGTCATTAATTTGCGTTTCCCTGTTAGTTAACACTAAATCTAAAATATTATTGCGTAAGAAAGCAATCGTCAATTAATTCTAGAAAATCTTCTGCTTCACTATTCCCTGTTTTGTTCAACCAGTTTATTCCGCTAAAATTAAAGTCACCCATGACATAAATACTGTTAGATCTAGATGCTCTAGATATTTCATCCCATAGATGCTTTGCTTCCATTCTGTCTAAATTTGGTGGCCTATATATTACTCCTATTATAATATTATTAGCTTTTTCGTTTAATTCAATCCAAATAGTTTCTGTGTGTGGCTCTGTTTTGATTCCCTCTTTGAGACTACATTTCAAATTGTCCCTAACATATATGGCTACTCCACCTCCTCGTCTAATATATCTATCTGTGTGAAATAGTTTAAATCCATATATTTGATATTCAGCTAATAGTTCTCTATTTTCTACATTCATCCACGTTTCGGTAAGTGCAATAATATCTATTTTTTCTGTGCAGACAAGAGCATTTAATTCGTTAATTTTATTTCTTAGACTTCTACTGTTAGTGTAATATACCCTAAGTGAATTGTTATTTTGCGGACCTTCTCTTTCCCTGATCGTTTTGCCAATTCCTTTCTCCCACAAACACATACTTTTATTACCTCCTTCCTCCAAATCAATTCCCATACCTCTATCTACTAACAGTTTAAACCCAAACAAACACCTCTAACCACTTCTTCTAGCGAGTTCGCAACAGCAACAACCCCAGCTCTCGATAGATGCACCCCATCACGAGCATACATTTCATTTCTTCCATAGAAGTGTTCCCAGTTGTCTATGAAAGATATTGCATTTGATTTGCAATATCTTTCCAGCCGGCAATTGACACCAAGTGCCCTCGATATCCATTCATTTCCCACTCCCTTTCTTGGAAGAATGCCACGAATTGCACCGTTAATCTTTCTTCATGTGAAAGATTTCTAATTTGGGGAATTAACTTAGTCATCCTACGCTGGACACGTTCAAGTGAATATATATCCATTCTATAATATGGCGACCAAAACTGAATTTGCATAATCTAAATAGGGCCTAACCAGAGCAAGATATAGCTGAAGAACAACACCAGGTGTCTTGTTACTAACGCTTCGATTAATAAATCCCAGTGTCCTATTTGCCATATTACGAACATTCATGCATTGATCCTTTTGTTTTAAATTCTTACTAATCATAGCTCTCAGATCGCTTTCGCAATCCGACTTCGCAATCTCAACACCATCTAGCTCGTGTCTTGTAACTCTATCATCATTACCTAGCCTCAGAACTTTAAATTTATCAACATTAAACTGCATCTGCCAATCTTTTGACAATTTCAAAACCCTATTTAGATCAACTTGTAGTGATGGTGAGTCGTCTTCCGTGTTAATTTCCCTTCCGATTTTTGTATCATAAAAGAATAAACAAAACTGGCACAAGGTCGGCAGGAAATGACAATTAGAAAGGAGAAGAGGGGGGGAGAAAAATGAAACAGAAGGAAAGGGAAAAGCGATCCGGTGCAATTCGTGAATACAGCAGCAGAAGCACAAAGCCACAAAAGGACAGAGGACTGTCCCATGGAGCATCACACTCCGGCAGCCGACCACCATGCCCCCTCACGGCGCCAACGGGCCGGATAGGGAGGGGGTTTCGAATCAAGATTGCAAGCAAGTTTCTCTTAAATCAATATTGAGACTGCTATGACTCCTAAAATGAATGCAATTGTCCACGTGCCTGACTTACTTGTATCTAAGTAACTGTATAACTGAAAGTAAATGAACTAAGTTGAGCTATAGCTTAAGTGTCTTCTGAGTTCTGCTACGTGGGTAATAGTATCTTTCCAAGCATTATCTGCTGCACAGCTAAAATGCATGTAATCAGGGTTTTAAGAGAGAGAGAAGTGTACTTGCGAAAGTCAGATCAGAAACACTTGCCAGAGACTTGAAGCTGCGCAGAAGACTGTACCTGGATCTTAGGGCCTGCACTTCCTCAATAGTGTATTGAACCTTAATGCGGAGTGTACATACCCACAAGCATTAAATTGTGCAAGAGAGAAAAC